TGTGCTAATTTGGCTTGCCTTCTATGTTCAAGTGCCCGATTCGATCTGCAAGAGGTCCAGCTTTAAGAAGTACCATGAAGAGCCATGGGAGAAACTATTTGCTGTCTCTGAAGAAAAAAAAAAGTTAGGCCAGAGGGGCAGTCTGGATTGCCCCCCTCCTCTCCCAACTTCAAAGGAACCAAATTTGTGTGTGTGGTTCAAAACACACGAGTCGATGAAAAGAATCAGCCTCCAAGAGACGCCGCCGTACAAACAGCCCTGGTCCTTCACTGTAACCACTTGTTCGCAGGAAGGTCGGAAGAGAGAGGTGACTCTTTGTACGCTGCGGTGGGCAACACGGACTTCTCCTACGGCTGGAAAGCTCAGACCCCCACAGGTTAAAGCCGATCACCTTGACCTACCACCTGATTTCTAGATGGAGGCTCTGCAGGTCACCAAATAGGACACCTTCCAACAAGGTGGGGGAAGGCCGTGTGCTGGTATGCGGATTGGGTATGTCATTAAAAGTGTTGTAATCAGCAATTATAAATTGCCCTTGCAGGGCCCAGGATTGCTAAATAACCTGTCAAAGCTCCTTGGACTGGCAAGCATAAGAGGCCAATCGCACCTATATAAAAAGAGACCATATATCCGGGGAGGGAAAGATGCCTTCTAGGAACTGAAGGGCACTCCTGCCAGCAGCCTGCCATGATGCAGAAGGAACGAAATGGAAAGTACTGGGGTTGGCTCCACGGCAGTTCTCCCTGCCTGAACGTTTCTCATTCAGTCTCCAGCGGAAAGCAGCCAGCGATTGGAGAGGAGGATGTTTAAAAACCACTGTTTCTTCTCCTAATTCAGTGGCAGAAGCTCACTGAGCCCCTGGGGGACAAGTGCTTTTCTCCTACAGTGCCTCCATTCGGCTCTGCATAAAAGGCAAGCAGAGCAGGTCCGTGATCTTGGAAGCGTGGGCACAGCTGTTTGCTGTTATACTCTTCCCAAAAGAATGAGCTTAGAGTCCCAGTAAATAGGGACTGCTGGGGTCCAAGGCAGGATCAAGTCTGCTTAAAACCACTTCTGAGGGACGCTTATTTAACCTTTCTTAATAACTTCCCATGGAGATCTACCCCAGCACTTCACTGCCTTTATGGTTAGAAAGCCTGTCTGTGAACAGGAGGAGGACTTGGAAACAGGCCCCGGTCAAAGAGAGCCCAAGGATTCATCTCTTAAAAGCTTCAGATTGGCTGGAAGTTCCGCTCGGTGTCCGAGCTGTAGTTCACGGTCAGCTCCGTCTTAAACTAATACTTGTTTGCTGCATTGTTTGGTTTCTGCAGTCTCCATCCTTTGTCTTGTAGGGGTGAGAGCTACAGAGCCTGGCGCCCTGTACAGACATGCACACATCAGGGACTTGCGCTGCATTCTTGCTGGGAAGTATTAGGCCAGTCTTGTTTGACCAGCCTTTGAACCAAGTGGGGAGGAGAGGGGGCAGTGCGTGCCTGGTTACTTGTTCCAAATGCCCTTTTTCTGTCTGCAACACTCTCATGACATTTATCTTAAAAATAAAAGAGTTTGCTCTGGTGTCACCAGCACCCAGACATACCTTACATGGGTGAAATTCTGCTCTGGGTGACGCAAGAGGTCACACTAGATCAGCAGCATGGTCACCTCTAGCCTCAAAACCTCTGAGCCTGCTTTGGTGTCCAGGCATTTTCCAGCACACCCAAAATGGAGCACAGCTTTTTGAGCAGGCATGCACGTACCCACCTCGGTATGCATGGCCTTGTACAATTGGTAAAGCCTCTTGATGGTTTTCACAAGCCACGTCCCCAAAACAGCTGTAATATGTTGGCAGAGTGTAAAGGCAAAAAAACCGGTCCATTTTATAGCCTGACAATGGCACCTGGTGAATATTACCAGAAAGCTGACAAGGGGTGCGTCTACACATGCTATTACTGTGCATCAATAAACTCCAGAGCGCATTGCTCTACAGTTTATTGTTCCCAGGTGTGCCATTTGAATGTGTACCCGGGAGCAATAAACTCTGGAGTTTCTTCATGTGCAGCACACTGAGCTGGGTCGGAGCAGCCCCAGCTGGCAGGGGCCCCCCCAAGGATCAGCCTGCCAGCCTGGGGCTGCTCCCCCCACAGCTCACAGTGCTGTGGAAGGGCTGGCTGGGGCACGAGGGTGCTTCAGTGTGGGACTAGATGGCAAGCAGCCCCCCACACTGAACCACCCTCCATGTCCCAGCCAGCCCCTCCAGCGTCTGCATGCATGCTGCTCCAGAGCTTTTGGAAACTTAAAGACCAAAAGGGACCGTTTCTGACTGCTCCTAGCTCTGGGCCTTCTGTTAGATAAGGGAAGGAGGGGAAATGAGCCATTACAGAAGGAGGGGAAGTGAATGAGGGTATAAGCAGGGGAATACACATGGGCAGGAGTGGGAATGGGGTTAGACAGAGCCTGGAAGGGAAGGATAAGCAGAAGTTGGAGTTGTGTGTGGAAGTCAAGAGGATGCCCATTTAACCATCTTGGCAAAAAGCTTTTTGGACAGGCAGGAACAAGGCGAAAGGAGCTATGGAAAAGATAAGAAGATGAATAAGGCACAAGCCAAGACAGAGCTACAGCAATGGGGACAAGAGTGGCTGGAGAAGGAAGAATAACTTCAGGCCTCAGCAAGAACGTGGACTTGGGAAGGGGAAGCCAAGAGGACGAGCTCAGACGACTAGTGGGACGGTCAACACGGGAGTAATTCTGCTTGTTGCACTTGTGTGAATACAGTACGGCTGTGCTGTCTTCCGTGAGGTTGCAGAATAAACCTGGAGTAAGAATTCAGTTCTGGTTTAGGAGTTACTGAGCAAACAACCGCCGCTCAATAAAAGGCTGATGGATGCCACTCCACGGTGCCAATAAACTGTGTGGCTGTAGGACTTAAGAAATCGGCTGGCCAAAGGTCGCCTGATGTCTGTCCATGCTATCGGTCGAGTACACACTTTAATAACTCAGTATGATCTAATAAATTCCTATGCAGGTATGTAATAAAGTTAGTCCTGGAACCTGCTGATTTCAGGTATTCTTCAGTTTGGACCCAGGGTGCAGATCCGTCTCTAGCTGCTCTTGGATTCTGGCATATCCAGCCAGTCAAACCAGTTTAGAAGTGTACTACAACACCATTATTAGATCTGTAGTGATGTATCGGAGGGAGACTTGTTGCACAATGCTGGAAAACCTATAGGAAGTGATTTGTTTTAAAATCAATGTTCTCAGGAAGAGAGTCGGACCGGTGAAAGCCCCAGTGAGGGGTAAATGGAGAGAAAGAAGTAACGAAGAACTATGAAATATCACGGGACAGCCCCTCATTACAGGAGTGGTGTGTGTACAATGGTTAGCAGGGACTGGCCATGTGGTGAGAGTGGAGTAACTGAGAAATATCATAATCATCCATAATCTAGGATGACATCTTCAAGGTAGGCCTCGCCAGTGGTTGATGGACAACATAAGAAGAGACCTGAAAGTACTTTATGTAGTGCAGCATTGGGGGGAGACAGCTCACAATAGCCAGAAATGGAGGCACATCATAGAAAATGAGGGTGGGAAGGGACCTTGGGAGAGCACTTCTAGTCCAACCCCCTGCTCCAAGCAGGACCAGCCCCAACTACATCATCCCAGCCAAGGCTTTGTCTAGCTGGGTCTTAAAAACCTCCGAGGATGGAGAGTCCACCACCTCTCTGGGGAACCTGTTGCAGTGTTTTACTATCCTCAAGGAGGGTTTTACTATCATCAAGGAGGCCAAAGCACTACAAGTGCTAGTTAGCCACTGGTTCCTGGAAGCAAGAACAATGGTTTAGAAACGTGCACGCTGGTACGATGCCTGCAGCCACCCTGTGCAGAGACCCGGTCTGACAAATGGGTAAGCCCCAGACCCAAAGCACTCTCACTTGTTAAGTAAGCAGTGGCAATGGAAGAAAATGTTAATTCCAGTTAGCCAGGCTGCAGCACAACCCAGCTCAAAAACCACTTGCAAGGCGGTGGAACGCAAAGAAAACCCACATCCTGTCTCGCAGCCCCTGCAAAGGGATTATCCGACTACTCAGCTCCTAAAGCCCCTTTTAAGCCCTCATCAGAGCTGAAGGCGTGAAGCATATCTGTCTTTTCTGGCATTTAGCTGCATGAGGCAGCCCATCTACTCTGACGACCATCTCATTACAGCACTGATACTTAACTGAATGTTGCCCTAATTAGCCGCACAGCAGCTATCATCATCTTTAATTACAGCAACTCTTAGTCTAGGTAATTTGTACTAAAGTGGAAGAAAATTCCCATGCAAACCCTTCCCTGCCGTCCATGCAGACATCTTCATTAAAAATACATTTGCTTCATTAGAGATAATTGCTGGGGGAAGCAATAAATCAGTAGCCAGAATTCTCCAGCGTCTGAAAACCTCCAAATTCACTCAAAGTTAGAGCTGCAGCTGCAAGAGAAAGTCACCCGCAAGAGGTCGAGGGACTGGGTCGGTACCCCGCACATCCCTCTGAAGCTGTGAACTGCCTGCATGCGGGGGAATTTACTTCCTCGTGGATCCTTCCAACAGATGATCTTCAGCTACAAAAGGAGCTTATTCTAGGTGTGTATACATGCGCTGACATGCAAATAGACATTAGAAAAGAAAAGGAGGAACTGAAGACCACAAGAGAAGGAAGGGGAGACAAGAAAAAAAAAATATCAATGAAAGGGAAATAGTGCAACTCATGGTATTTAGAGACACTTGGCTTATTCAGCCACTGCGTTCATTAGCCTCCTTTAACAGCAGCAACATTTTCAGACATCTGCAAAGGTCGGGTGCGCTGGCTCTGCTCTACCAGACGCCCAGGTTTTCCAACAGAGGTGCTGCCTGCCCTAATAAGAAGCCGGAAACCCAACTGGTTGCCTCTCGACTCGGCCAGCCCGATTCAGAGTTTGGTGTTTTCATGCGCAAAGCTGGTCCCTACGTGTTTGTGATTAAAAAAAAAAAAAAAAAAAAAATCACACACCTGAAGAACCCTTTGCAGCCTTCGCACGTCATAGCGTTGAAATGAAAGCCCGTCGCCTTGTCCCCGCAGACACCGCAGATCCGGGGAACGTTCCTATCGAATTCGCCGCCTGGGTCAGGCAGCGAGGTGCTTGCTGCCATGATCTCCATTTCTGAGATGGGAAAGAAGCCAAAAAAGGGTTAGAGACTTCCCCCTCCTCACTGCAGAGTCTTACAGCAAAGTTATAGGCAAGGCAGCAATGGGTGGCATCTTGTGCCAATCCTGGCACAGGGCAGGAAGAACTTGCAATAATGTGGTTGAAAGACGGAGGCTTTTTGTGCATCTCCCCACCACTGCAATCCTCGATCTGAGCCCCAGAGGCCAAGAAAGCCTTACCAGATGCTCTTCTAACCTCACCTTGAAGCACGTCCAACCTTTCCCCAGACTCCTGGGGGGGACTTTCAGTCTCTTTTGCTCCTGACCCTTCTTGTTCCTGCTAGAGTCTGCCCCGGGACTCAACCGTACGCTGTGTTTTCATCCGTCAGACTACGCGGGAAAGCGTGCCACTACCCGAAAAAAAGTCAAAATTTCCCTGCTTGGTAAAAAGGGAAGTGACTAGCACCACCCCAGCCGTCTCGCACGCGGAGATGAGTAACCTGCCAAACATGCAAGTCAAACGAGTATTGTTTTGGTTGGGGTTTTTTTCCCCCTTCGTCCTCCTTCTTAAGAAGTGGTTTGTTTTTTTAAGGGAGAGGAAGAGGTACTCAAAGCACCTTGCACATCAGGTTGTTGCAGCGAATGCTGGAATTCACACTTTGATGCCCATCTCTTAGGACAGGGTCATAACTCTCAGAAGCGTCTCCCAGTTTAAAATAAAAAAAGAATTATTTAGTTTTGCCTTTTAATAACGCCCCCCAAAAGGCTTTCTATGATGTGGTAGACTTGCCAAGGAAGGATCTCTCTACAGCTCTATGGAAACTATCAAGCTCAACAGAAATGCATGTCTGTCTTGCCTACACAGCATCACGTTCCTGCCAAGTTTGGAGTTTCGGTTTATGATGGAGAATCGATTTATACAAGCATGGCTTGTCGGACGCACGGCTCGCAGTTGGAGGCGCTCGGTTTGCTTTTTTATTCTGCAGCTCTGCACCCTCTTGAATCCTGGGACAAGCAGCAGGAAAGATTGGCGTTTTTATCGTCCCTGCTTTTCTAGTCACGCCCAAAATTTCACGTACAGAAAGATTACATGCAAATGAGCTTTTTATTTTTTTTGGCAGGAGGTTTCAGCATTTAACCCTTGAGAACTAGAATAGGCAAATGTTACTGTAAAATATTCATTTCCCACGTGGTGCACGCAGCGCCAGATTTTCCAAAGTGATCAGCTGGGAGATTGGTATCAATTCCTCCCCTCACCCCGGCCAATCTTGCCGCTCAAAAGTTTCCTAGGCAGGATTGAGCTGACCCATGGCAAGTGAGGTTATATTTCAGAAGTAATACTGCACAGTGGTTAGAGGGGACTGGGTTTAATTCCCAGCTCAACAAATGAGTTGCTGTGCAACCTTGGAGCCTTGCCTCCGAGCCTCGGTTTTCCCTACCTGTAAAATGGAACCATACTATTAAGCTCACACTAAGGGCTTGAGGCCTAAAGTTTAGAAACGGATTTACAATCCTTAGAAAAAGCTAGTTTTCCATGATAGAGACCATGTGCAGTGTGGCTACATTACTGCTCTTCCTACTCCACTTTTTTAAAGATGTTTTACTATGTGCTTGAATTGCTCTGCATAACGCTCTCTCTTCCGGCAGCCACTGATTAGTCATCAGGCAAACAACAGAAAGGCTGTCAGTAGCAGAAAGTGTCGAATTTAACCCCACAGTTTAATTCTCGGTTGCAATCAGCTTGGATCCATCAGTTCATTTCTTTTCAAGCACCTCGTTTCCTGCTAATGGAGAGCCAATCAACAGGATGACTGGAAAATTAAACTACACAGGTAGCTTGAAAGCCTGCGTCACTGCTCTCCAACCCACTGCTCACAGACAGCTGGAAATTAATAGTCAGATGCAGTTTGCGGTACTGTACTACACTCTCTCAGGATTGCTGCCCATGAGACGGTGAGAATCGGGGACCACGGTAGCCACTCGAATCAACAAAGCCAGGCTCAGACCTGCTACAATACCAACCCTGGGGTAGAGTCCTTCTGGTTATCCCCTACAGAGCACGTCAGACATACCATTAGTGACCTCCTGGAAAAGGATGACCCCCTCAAAGTCGTCATGGGGGACAAACCAGTCCTGCGTCTCAAGCAACAAGCTAGCCAAGCCTCAGCCTCACCAAGGCACCTGGCCTTGCAACAGACCCAAATGCCTTCTGTGCACCAGCAACAATGCAGACCATGTCAGCACTGCACCAGACATGGATTATATAACATCCGAGGTTCGTTCACTTGCAACTCCACCACTGCCATACGCACCATCACCTGCTTGCAGTGCCCCTCTGTTGTCTACATTGGACAGACCGGGTGATCCCTACGTGGCAGGACGAATGAACACCACTCTGCCGTCAGGTGCAGAAAGACGAGTACACTTCAACCTCCCCGGACGCTCCACCATCGAGCAGAGAGCGGCTGCTCTCCGACAGCAAACATTTACAAAACGATTTGAACGGGAAATTGGGGAACCAGAAATCCTCCGCAGACTGGATTGTGTTAAGTATGTTTTAAACAGGGACTCTGGATCCCTATCCCATTACCTGGCTTAGCTTTGGCGACCCCTTTATTCCTATGGGATTGCTGCTTTTTTGCTCGTCTCTACCTCTGCCACCACCACCCTCTCTCTGTTCATTTCTCCCTCTTCATCTTCCTCCCCTTGTCTTTTGTATTCAGACTTCTGTCTTCTTATAACTCTGCTTTCTTCGTGTCTTTTCATAGCATCGGATGAAATGAGCTCCAGCCTAAACTTGTGCTACACGCACTGTTAGTCTGCAAGGTGCGTCTTCTAACTTGACTTCCAACTAAGAAGCTTGTCTCGGACCAGCACCATACCTAGACTCCTGGCTACCCCGGTGAATTTTTAGTATCGCACCCCACTTCACCAGAGATAACCATCGTAATAATTTTTAAATTGCCATTTTCAGGCCCCCTTTCTGTCCGGGCCCTGGGCGGCCACCTGGTTCACCCATGCGTGTGTCCGGCCCCGTCTCTGACCACTGGCTTGTGCATAGGACAGACATCTGGACAAGATTTTCAGTGCGACTCGAGCCCTCTGGAGCCTCGATTCTTGCTGAGAGTCAGTAGGAGTTACGGACATCCAAGTCACTTTAAGAAGACAGGCCTTCTGCAAGTCTTACTCTGTAACCCTGGAGAGATCTTAGTATATCAAGCAGGAATATTCAAGGGCTGGGATTTTCAGAGCTGCAATGAATTAGGTCTGAAGGCCTCAACTCCTTTGAGCTCCTATAAAATCCCAGCCAAGACAGACAGACCATCAGGCCCCCTTAAGATCATTCAGCCGGCTTTTCCCCCCAACCTGACGACTCAGCAGCAGAAAACAGCAAATATTCTCAAAGAAAAAGGACTACTTTACCGGCATCTGGAAGATAGGCTACGTTTTGCTGGTATATTTCCCAGGAGCTCGGGATCTCCGACATGGAACAACCTGCAGGATGAGAAACGTTTCACAACGTCAATTTTTCTTCAGCTGTAACGCGACGTGGAGCAAGTCCGATGGATCATCTCGGGCTCTTTCAGTTTGGGAAATTATTCCTATCACTAACAGAGCCATTGACGTCAGCAACCTGCATCAGCCGGGTGTGGTGCTCTCAGGCTACCTGGCCCCACCCATCACACCGGAGGTGTCACTTAACTCTGATCCCCGTGATAGAGGTTCTCAAAACACCCTCCTTCCTAGACATAGGGGACAGTCATATCGGGAGCAGGTGATTATGCCGCCCTCCAGGCCAAGGAGAAACTATCTGCTCATCACCCATCCGGTGACCCACAGCGCAGGACGGAAAAAGGCAGGGAACAAGTGTGAGAATGATGCACGGCTCAGTCCTTTCGGCTACACCACCGTATTTCATAACTTAGCCCGGTCAGTGCTGGATAGGGTGACGCTCGGTGCAGTGGAATGAAATGAAGCAATGCCAAATGGCTGAGTTGAGCTTCGGTTGTGAGTCAAGGCATAAAGGTTTCAAGCCAATGGGATAATTGAAGTGCTGGGAGTTACGCGTGTGTCTAAGTACGTCGCTGCACTGGGAAAATCCGGTTGGCGAAATAAGAGATCTGCAACAGTAAATTGAGTAGAGATGCCAACGCCAGAAATAATTTGGTATCTACACATGCGCATTTACTGCACAGTAACTGAAGTTACTATGCAGTACGTGCACACATCTACATGCGCATACCCATATTGCGCAGGAGATATGGAGACTTAATGCTGACTTGAGCATAAAATTTGATACCTGCATCAGGCAGGCATCAAATTTATGCCTGATTAGTTACTGTGCAGTAACGCATGTGTGGACGTGCGCAGTAATACTGTGTGTGGACTGACTTGGGACTAAAATTAGTCCCAAGTCAGTCCACACACAGTGTTAATGCACTTTAACACCAGCATGTTTAAATGTTGGCCTATTCTTGCTTACTGCACACACTAATTTACTGCACACTAAATTTAAGCTGGTGTAAATGCACATGTAGACACGCCCAAAAAACCATACTGAACAATCTGCACATTAGGCCCATGTGAAGTGGCTAGTATTCGCTTCAGATTTGGCTCCAGGCAGGCGATCCCTGCTGCCCCCCGTTGCCCTGTGTCACATGGGGGGGCTCTTGCATGAGCCCTGGGGCTGCTGCAAGAGCAGGGAGTCCCGGGGCTTTTCTCCGTGTTTTTTTTTCCTTAAAGGGCTGGAGCTGTCCCACACGGGGCACCCATGCAGGGGCTAGGGGAGTGAGGGGGCAGGTTGGGGGCCTCGTGCAGAGCAACCCATGTAGCATGGGGCAGTGGGGAATCACCCCCCTGCCCTGCAGCACCCAGTGAGCACCGGGGCTTTTCTTTAAAGGGCTGGGAGCTGGAGTGGGCAGGGGTAGCCGTGGGGGAGGTCGGGGAGCAGGCGGGGGCTAGAGTCAGCTGCAGCTCCCTGCTGCAGCCACTGGGGACTGCCCGAAATCAAAGCTCTCCATATCTTTTCCGAAGATTTGGAGAGCTTTGAAAATCGATCTGGACCTTTAAATTGATTCAGAGATTCGGCCACCAAAAATCGGGCTGAATCTCCTCCAAATTGAAAATCGCCACCCAAAGCTTCGCACAGCCCTAATGCACATTATGTTTGCTCTTTTCTGCTATAAGACCAGTCATCTGGCAGATGACAGAACAAAGAGCAATCATATCAAGTTGCAGCAAGGGAAGTTTAGGTTAGGTATCAAAAAAAAAAAAAAAAAAAAAAAAAGAAAAAAAAAATCACTAGGAGTTTAGAAAAACACTGGAACAAGTTACCCAGAGAGGTGGTGCAATCTCCATCCTTGGAGGTTTTTAAGACCCGGGTAGACAAAGCCTTGGCTGGGACGATCTAGGTGGGGCTGGTCTAGATGTACCCTTCTGAGGTCCCTTCCAACCCTCATTTTCTAGGAGTCTATAAATGTGTTCATGGGCAACTGGTGCCTCCCGAGTCAGGGGGGGGCACTTGCCCCCTCAGCAGGCAGTCAGCAACTTGTGGGGGGCGGGGGGGGGAATCCTCCTGGCGCCCCCACTCCCCGGCAGGTACTCTCAGGGGGGACACCGGCGCTCCCGTCTGCCCCCCCTGCTCATCACATAGGCAGGGAATGGTGGCCATCAGGGGGTGCACCAGCACTCTCAGGGGGTGCATGTGCACCCCCTACATGTCACCACCGAACAGACCAAAAGATGACCTAAACGATAAGTTACAGAGCTTTTAGGGACCAGGAGTTGACAGTTCCCTTGACAAGCTACTTTCAAATGTTTCTTAGAAGGGCTCAATACTGCTGGAAAGACCGTGTAAACCTTTGACAAAAGCAGCCAGTCAGGGTTACTGCCCAAAATTCAATTAAAGAGCCCAGCCTATACATACACAGATGTGTTGATGAAATGGGGAAAATGGACATGACAAATGAATGCAACAATCCCAAATCATTTGGCATACAGCCATTCTGTGCGCAGTTACTAATACAGCTTATTAACGCCCTCCACAAGACACTTTTTTTAGAGCACCGTTTTCAAGGGAGAGTAAAGGATTAGTCACCCAAAAGCTATGTGGTTTGGAGCACTAGCTGCCGTAGCCTCCTTCGAAAATATTAACCTAGGTTAGTAAACTCACTGGACCATTATGAAGAACCACGCAAGAATCAGCCCAGAACGAAGGGCTAGTGCGTTACAAGATGCTGTACGAGTTTGGCAGGAAGAAGGGAAGAGTCTTGCTAGGACATCAAAGCCTGAAGCCAGCACCCTGTCACCCATGAAGTGTCTTCTCAGGACTCTCTGGTCCTCTCGGCTCATAATGACAGAGAGGTGGTCACTGAGGCTGGTCTACCTTGGAATTAAAAAAATAAAATCTCACTGCCATTTAGCTGTGAGTAGGTAACATGAAAAGTGATGCCTATTAGGGAAAGGAGGAGGAAGATAATAATGTTCTTAACATCTGCCGGCTGCATTTTCTCATCATGCAGATTCTAAACTCATTAGCAGACTTGCTTCTCGAGCTGTACCCCGATGGGGCCCTCATGCACAAATAGCACCTGTAATGCTGAGTTCAGTCTGAATGTTTTTTTAAAGGGTTTTTCCTTTATATTATGCTCAGAGTCCTATGGATTTACAAAGCTATCCAGTATCTTCCATCCTGATCTCAACCTTCATCCTGGTTTAAAATATAACGAGGAATCCCATGTAATTACAATGCTTCTATTAACAGGCGATATGATGACAGCCACGGCCTACTCTGTACATACATCATTTGTGTTCAACAAGGATTACTGAATGTTAGAAGCTATTTTCATCCTGTTTCAACTTTAAAAAAAAACAACCTAAAAAACCCCCTTATTTGCCTGCAGCTTTCCATTCATGTGATGGGATCATGTCAGCTCACAAGCCAAGCAAGATTGATGGCTACAATCGGTGCCTGTTAGGAGCAACACATCCAGGTTGCTCTATTACAGGGAGTGTCGTGTGAATACATGAGCTAGGAAATGCTCCCAGGGGAAAATGTTGCTGGGAGGAGTTTGCTCATTTGCAGCAGCACCTGATAAGAGCAACATCACTGATAATCGGGATGGAAGAACTCCAAGGATCCCAGATTCTGCAGGAAGCGTTGCTGGTGATGCTATAGGGAGCACAAATGCCAACCTTGACAGCATGGCAGCATTGCAGCTCCACTAAATTACCCGTTGGGTTGGACGAAGGAAAGGATGCTTTGCTTTTTTGGGCTGCACGCCTGTGTAACGCGAGCCTGCTGTTAGGCCATTTCAGGAGGAAGACGGAGGGAGTCATCTCGGTGTTTGTGCGAAAACACGGCTGCCACACAGGAAGAGGAAGCACCTACATGCAGGGCAGCCACTTAGCATTTTCTGCTCACTTTGCCCTGACCCGTCAGCCGGATTTAGTAGCAAGACGGGTCACTTGCAACGAGCCCCTAGGGCTTCTCTTCTTTCTCTGCAGCTGCCCCACTCTTGGCAGATTTCACATGAAAATCTTTCACGCAAAGATCTGCCAAGCCCTCTCCTTAAGCAATGTGTAGCCAGGAGGCTGCTAACCTGGAGCTGCACCTCCACAGCCCCTCGCTTGGAGGAGCAAGCCCTGGCTTGTCTCTGCATGAGACGGTACATCTCCAAATCCACATCTGACTGGAGAAATCAGCTTGCAGCAGTCTGCGCACGCCACCCTCTACCCGACTTCCTTTTTTCCCCCCTAGCCTCACATCCAATATTCAGCTTTCCCTGTGCCCTTACACTGCTGTAACACAACTGCCCTGGCATATCTTCACCTTCCCCACGTGCTGTTGCTACAAGACAGCCTGAATTCTCATTAACCATGACTACACTTCTTCCAGGAAGGTTTCCAAACACAAAAGGTATCATGATCAGATGAGGAGATATTATTTGCCCTTAGGGAAAAAGGGAAGGCAACCGGGCCTTATCCCAGCAGTGGCTGGAGAGGTGGAAAGCATGCTTTGGTGCTATCCTTTACCATAAACCCTCCGAATGCCTCCGTGTATTTAAATCTAAGGGTGGCAGAACAGTCCTCCAGTCATTGCACGATGCAGGCACTGAGCTCCAAGGAAGAGGCGTGTGAAAAAACAGGGAAGAACAACTCCCGTTTGCCAGGAAAAGGGGTTGGTACCAATGGAGCGATGGGGAAAGAAGAACTCGACCCACACAGGGATGTCTGCAAGAGTTGCTCCACTCCCCGCTGCACGGAGGCTCTGTGCAGTACACCTGCGTCAGGAAAGGGAAGTCACTCTGGCTTTCCACTTCCCATTCTGGTTGAGCAGTTTGGGCTGAACTAAGGAGGAAGCAAAGAACAAGGGTACATTTACCTACTTGCCCCTGGCACGCTGCAGAGGCCATTTCTGATAGGGTTGCTGGACCTGACGCTGCACAGGCTTCATTCTCACGCTCGTTATCTTAGGCAACTCTTAATTAAAAGCAAAAAGTGACTTGGCCACTGATTTGCGATTAATTATTCTCATCCCCTTATGAAGGGCAGATCCCCTGTTATTCCCATGGGAAAAGCATCTCAGCACTATAATTCTGCTGACTTATTGGAAAAAAGTGTTAGTCAATACCATAATGAAACTCAGATCTCAGAGCCCCGTGTAGGTCTCTCCGGAGTATTCCCCCACCCCCAGAACAGATTGCTCATTCATCAGGCTGACATTCATTCCTCTGCTCATGTAAAAGCCAAAATGACCCAGCTAAAAAACAGTTGCCCTTGTTTGTGTTCTTCTGGTCTAGCAAAAAAACCCCCAAAACCCCCCCAAAAACCATCAATGCAGTTTCACATTTGGGTGCATTAAAAGAACAACTCATTTTTTTGACCCAATCAAGACTACACAGAAGGGTTGCAATCCATCCTGTACTGAGGTCACGGGTCTTAAAAAGTGTGCAGCTCAGTCCATGTCCCATCATAGAGCAAACTGGAAGTTAAATCTTTGAAAAGACTGGGAAATTTCAAGCTTCTCTGCACTGATGACTAAGAATGAAAACCCAAAGCAACAGCAGCCACACTCCAAGCTGGCTGAGAAGGCTGTTATTGAATCAACAATTGGGATAGTGCACTGGGACACCTCCAGACAATCCACAGAGGAAGCAGTCGTCAGAGAACCACTGTGGTTACGTGCCCAATAACTGGAAAAACCTCACGTGCGTAGCATGGATCGTACGGCACGACTGAGCGTAGCACTAGCACGGATTCCATGCCACAACCACGTGTAGGCATCTGACCTTCTTTGCATGCGTGTGACATGCAAAAACCCTCCCATTAACTGTGAGTGGGGGCAGTTAACAGCAGATTGCTTTGTGGAGCAATTAAGTCACACCCTATTGTTAGCCACTGCTGAGTAAGAGCAAGGTAGGATTTTTCATAGAGGAGTAAAGTTGGAAGGGACTTCAAGAGTCCAGTGGTTTTCAGCTTGTGGTCTGCAGACCCATGGGGGTCTCCAGACTATGATTACAGGGTCTGCAAAAGATAACGATGATTAAACTTATGTGAACACCCAACACTTGCAATTCAAAGGCGTCTGCACAGCCATTTGACATTTTTAGGGGTCCACAAGTGAAAACCAACCATTGATTGAACCTGCAATCTTGGTGTTATTGGTATCAAATTATAACCAACTGAGCTAAATGGACTTGGTGCCCATTAGGTCAACAGATTGGGTAACCATGAGGTCAACAGCCTTTCCCCTGCTGCAGAATAAGAGTGATCAGAGGAGGGACTGTGCGGTTGTCTGGGCACAAGCCTACGACACAAGACAGGGGGGTTTCTGCTACAGACTTCCTGTGTCTCCTTTGGAAAGTCAAGCCTTTCTATGCCTGAACTCTCCATTTGGAGCAGGGGGAACTGAGCACTGACTTCCCGCACGGGGCACTCTTGGAAGATCAGTGTGCCTCACGTATTAGGATGACAGAGCCATATAAGCCTCCAGGGAGATAAAGACTGGGAAATAAAGCAAGGTGTGGGGTGGTATATGGAGATCAGTCTACGGAGAGGAGGAGACTCATGCTGGCCGCACTGGGAAGCACCTGAACTTCTCTCTAATTAGCACCCCAATTAGCACAGCAACTTGTTTCTACTAGTAGGTCATGCCAGAGACTCCCAGCCTGAGATCACACGCGAGTGGGGATGGAGGCACCTAAAAAGTCACCTCTTAAAAGAGTTCTGCTGATGTGTGTGGTGGGGTGTGCACTAGGCAGGAGGTGTATCCAGCCTGCGTACAACGGACACAGGATGTACAGGGCCTTCCACATACACCGAGAGGTAGCTGCCCTCTGCATCCATCCCGCAACACGACCCGGGGGGCAATCACAAGAAAGCAGAGCACAGAGGGCCTGCTTTGGGTTCGAGCCAGGGCTCCCAGTCCATGCAATGTCAACCCTTAAATGTTTCCGTCTGGTCAGAGTCTACATTTCCCGGGGGCAGTGGCTGAGAGCAAAGAGCTGGCTGATGAGTCACGTGTTTACCACCGTGTCTTAAAGCCGTGTGTGGGTGGGGGCTGGCATGGTCCCTCACCGCTGCGGCTCAGCACATTTAACCAGGTGATAAAACGAGGATTTCTGGGAGGCGTCTGATATTCAGGGGGCGGCGGTGGGGACCCACACACTGCCTGCAGATACAATGCAGTCAGCATTGTCTGGAGAAGGGGGTGTGATGGCTCATCGGCAGTCAAGAAGTTGCCAAGAATAGCTAGTGGAGTGGAATTTAAAATAAAAGAAAGCTACCACCAGGAGGAGATGCCTCTCCCACCCAAATCGACGGGGGTAATGCAGGGAGCTACAAGAATGCAGAGACATGTGTATTGGTCTTCCGAGCGAGAAGATACAGAGAAGCGAGGCAGAAGAGCAAGAAACAAGAGGCACCAGAGAGGAACACGCGACCCTGAATGGTGGCTGGGAAGCGAGAAATGTCTCTTTAATCTACGGTGCAGGAGACAGGACACGTACATCCCATGCGCAAGAGGAGGAGGAAGACGACGACAGCACAGGAAAATAAAAAACAACCCCACAAAACCCATGGAGTTTGCACTTACTCTCAGCCATGCAGGAAGAGATGACAGCAGCAAAGTGGATCCAACAGACTCAACCTTGGGAGACAAAAGAAAACAAAAGCTTAGTTTAGGCTGGTGATTTTGAGATCCTTTCCCTATTCCTATAGGACGCAGAGAAGGATGAATGGCAGCCCAATGGCAGACACACAGAAACCAGAAAAATAATTGCATTGCCCTAATTTGAGTCTTCCAGACTTGCAAAATCCGTGCTAGCAGCTCCTTAAGCCCTGGCAGAAGACAGATGTCTTTGGCGAGCAATTGTCTTTGACAAAGATTCTTAGTCGCTTATTCATTGCCTGCGTAATGGCTGTTATAGCATCAGCATGGCACAGAAGTGCTTTGTTCAGTAATTAAGTTGCTTCCCTAGCCATAATGTTAAATGGCCATTATTACATTTATAGCTTGGCAGCTTTAGGCCAGAAAAGAAAGAGATCTAGAAAACCTGAGGCCCCAGCCATAAGGTAGTGGCAGCCTGGAGAGGGGATAGCAGTCATCTCAGCTTCAGGCACCCTGATTTGCAAGAGCTCGATTCAATATCAAAAAATGCCTTTAACACAGCACTGACTGCTCCATGCAAAAATCTTAATACCCCTCAAAGAACGTATTTCCAAGTGTTCAGGCCTCAAAACATGCAGGAAAGGGGTCTGGAACCTGCAGCTTGTGGTTGGTGGCATTGGCACGTGGCGGTGGGGAAGTCCTTAGCTCAGGGCATCCTGCCTTAGACCCAGCTCTGTTAATTCAGCTCAAAGGTTCCCAGCCCCTGGTCCAGGATACCCACCCATGCACTAAAACCCTTCAGCAGATGCCAATACTTCTGGCGGCAGCTGCTTCCCTAGACCTCGCACCTCCCAACTCCCTTGCAGTGCTAGCTAGACCTGGCTATTTTCACACTAGCTCCTCTGCTGAGGCCACAGGGAATCCCTAAGAGCTAAAACTTATGCTGCAGGGCAGGTGGGTTCTGGTTAAGTTCAATGGTGTGATGAATCATAGAAAATGAAGGTTGGGAGGGAGCTTGGGAGGTCACATTTAGTCCAACTCTCTGCTCAAAGCAGGACCAGCCCCACCTAGATCACCCCAGCCAGGGCTTTATCTAGCTGGGTCTTAAAATCCTCCAAGGATGGAGAGTCCACCACCTCTCTGGGTAACCTGTTGCAGGTATTCACTAGTGAGAAAGTTTTTCCAGATATCCAACCTCAACTTGTCTTGCTGCAATCTGAGCCCATTGCTCCTTGTTCTGGCATCTGCCCCCACTGAGAGCAGTCCAGCTCCATCTTCTTTGGATGGAAGGAGTTGAAGGGAGTCAGTCTTCTCTTCTGCAGACTAAATAAGCCTAATTCCCTCCGCCTCCTGTGCCCCAGCCCCCCAACCATTCATTCCCCTGCACTGGACTCCTTCTCATTTAGCCACATCCTTTCTGTAGTGTAGACACAGGACTCCAGATGCGGGCTTACCAGTGGGCAAGTGAAGGTTGGCAGCTATTTCCTACCAGTTACAAGTCATCTCGTGGCATTTCATAACTAGCCCCGCTGTTCGTTTGGTTGGAGATGGAATTTATGGTAGCATTCACAGGCTCTAAAATCGGGCAAGGCCGGGGCGGATCCAGGGAGGGGTGCACTGGTGCATTTCCACCCCTCCTTTGATTTCTGCTCCACCCAAAGTTGAAAGCCAGCTACTTGGCAGTGGTAGCAGCAGTCTTTCTACTCGGGCAATATTGAGGGAGTCCATTGACGTCATAGCTCACTATAATCTACCTGATCCCTTCTAAACTCTTTATTCCCCAGTTTTAGCAGCCCTCTCTCCTTTGTAATGGTTGCAATGATTGCCTTTGCTCTGCAATTCTGCTGTGTTGGCTGCTCCTGGTAACTGCAGCTCCTATTTCACAGCCCAGAAGACTGCTTTTTTTTTTTTTTATTCCCAGGAAGTTATACTGGTTTTTGCTTCAGTACAGCCCTAAGCCCCTAGCCTAGGAATAAAGCTTCTAGTTTCGTTTTCTGCAGTTAAAAAAATGTTGCATCATGTGCAAGGAGGCACCTGCACCCCCGTCTTCTCCACCTGCCCACGTGCAGGGCTTGTTCCTTTGCAGCAGTTTCTACCCCAGAAGTTATGTTCTGCGAGACCTGCTGCACAATGGAGCACCCCAGTGTGCTCGACCTGAGCTTTTGGACGTGAGCTCAGTGTTGCCTGGCAATTGGAAAGTTCCCTTTCCATCTTACCATTGAAGAACGGAGCTGCAAATACGTCAGCTGAAGGCGGTCACGAGTTCTAGAGTCCCAACATAAAAAAAGGAGCAGTAAGCTCATTACCTGGGAGGAACTGGACTGGGTCAGAGCATAAGAGCTTTATACAAATTTTCACAGTGGAACAAGTCCAAACCATAAACTAAAACCTGATTACGGACCAATTCACAGCCAGAAAGCTCCAGGTGGCGGCAGCCAGAACTAGACGACGGAAGAGCAAAATGGTAAGAACCAAGCTGGGGGAAAAAAAAAAAAAGGGGTATCTTGCTTTGCTCAGCCAGTGCTTGTACTGAACTGGATGGCGTTTCTGTCTGCGAGGCAATAACTTTTGCATGCCACAACTCCAGCAAATATTCTGGGCCTCTGCTCGGAGGATTTGGCAAGAGTCTGGCAAGGGGAATGGAGAGGACACGTGGAGCTCCTGGCAGCTCAGCAACTGTCTACAGAACAAAGAACAGGTTGATAGCAGTCATTAAACACTTCCTGGCATAACAATGCCATCACCTGGGCTCTGCCCCTCCTCAAAGCCTCGTTAAATGTTGACACCCCAGCAATAAAATGGGATCAGCCATCGGAGGGCAACTAAGAAGGGGCGGTGTAGGGAGAGAGCAGGGCACAGGAGGACAAGGCCCCTGGTCAGGGTTGCAAGCTGGTGCTGGAGAAGTGGGGCGACGTGCAGTGCACAGAGCTTGCGGGGGGGTATCATTTTGCCCACAGAAGCAAAGGGCGCAGCTTTGCATCAGACAGGGGAACGCACATCTCTGATCAATACGCCACCCAGCTCCAGAGTTCACCCCAGACAGGAGGTCACTGGACTCCACCAGACATGAATTGATGACCAGATACAGCAAATAAGAGAAGTCCTCAAATTGGGAGATCCCCGAGAGTGGGAGGGGAAAAGAGGCCAAGCGTGTGGCTATGACAAATGGCGGGACTCGCGAGACCAACTGGGAGCGGAGGAAAGAGGGAAGCTGGGATGGGTTTTTAATCTAGGGAGGGAAACGCATAAAAGAACTGCGTTTACAAGCTTTATGTTCGGCTTTTATCTTAGGCAGCCCTCACCCGACAGAGGTTAGGGAGCAAACTTCACTTGTGGGAAGGTGAAAGCAGCCGTTCTGGCGTTTTGCATGTCGTTGCTCCAAGTGGCTGGGAACCGTGGTCCACGGGCCGTGTCATTTTGGCTGGGGCCACGCAGCAAGAATAGCCTGCGATGCAAACACCCTATTCCTGGCTGGCACCAGACCTGGCCGTCTTCAAGGCAGCGTCCATTGAAATGGGAATGAGAGAAAAGCTTCCACCCGGCACCAGATTCACAGGGAGCAACTGGCTGCGGCACCGTGCAAAAGCCAGAGCGACTTGCTAGGCTACCCGTGCCCCTCATTCTTGCTCAGTCGACCAAAATAGCTTTTTCTTCTGAGCACTACTAAGTCTGTACTTTAGCAGCTTGATTTCTAGCTTTGTGCTAGCTAGGCCAAAGCTGACTCACCCTTGCTGCCTTTTTTCAGAAGGATTTTCTGCCTCACATGGGGAAACGCTGCTCCCGTCTCAGTTGGCCAGCTCCACCATTCCTCTCCAATGTTTCTGTTCTTCCTTCACCTCTGCCCACGTTCACAGCAAATGCGTCTCTTGTAATGAAAATCAGAACCCGTGGCAGAGGCGATATCTTGTATTAGACCAACTAGAGTTTTGCAAAATCTCTTTAATTGCAAGCTATCGGGCACAAACGCCCTTCATCAGGCAGCATCTTTCTGGATCCAGCTCCTTAGGTCTTTTCTTCGGAGAGCAAAGTATAGATGTTTTCCTCGTATGCATTTCTGGGCTTCATCCAGCAAAAACATTATCTCCTGCATCGGACCTGGTTTCTTAATTTGTCGACATGTCTTCACTTGCCGGAGTCTACGTCTGGATGCGCTGCCAGCACTCACTCCACGAAGCCGTTTGCCAGCGCCCTAGTTTTGCAGGGCATCACTGGAATGTCACTGGCTCACGTAGACCGCGCGCGAGTTCTGCCGTATCTTCTTGTCTTTGGCTTTGCACCTGACCTAGAGACCTCCCTGTCACACAGCCGCCAGAACGCGTTCCCCCTGCGCTCCTTCACTCAGCTATTTGCTCCTGACTTGCAGAAAAAGCCGCCAATACAGAAATCACCGGTGAAGTTTCTTGGCCTCTATTCATAGAGGTTAGGGTCAGAAGGGACCTCAGTAGGTCATCGAGTCTGACCCCCTGCCCTGGGCAGGAAAGAGCGCTGGGGTCAGACGACCCCAGCTAAGTGCTTGTCCAGTCTCCTCTTGAAGACCCTCAAGGGAGGGGAGAGCACCGCCTCCCTATTGTGCAGGTGGCCGGACTTGATCAGCAGAGCGATTCCTCTTGGGTTTAGCTTTGGATTTATTAAATTGCTCAGGACAGGAAGTGAGCCTCACTTTCTTGCTGCTCCTTAGTCCTCCAGCAGTGCTCCTGGTAGGAGCCCGGATTTACTTCCACTGCCATCGCTTCCCAGTGCTTTGCAGCTATGTGCATGCACACACCAATCAGCCGGCAGCCAAACGTAACCCTGGATTCGAGCAGACTTTGAGCCAAGGATTTTTTTGTACAAACCCAGGACTCCATTCAACACCAGCAGGTGAATGAACAAGCCGACACACACGGCCTTGCACAGCCACTCCACATGCCAGTACCTGCAGCACAGGAAGCCTGACCTGGTGGCTGCCCTGAGTTTGTACCATGATGGCATCTACAGATTGCAGGCAGGACCCGGGGTGTGGTGCGCGTGGAAGGAAGAGACCACCTTTGCCACAGGCA